ACGACGAATGACACTATCGGAACCCCTCCTTATTATATGACTGCTTTCGTTGTTGGTGGAACACCAGTGACTACGTTCATTGGAACGGATCAGAATAATCTGACCTGGACAGTCACTGAGCCTGTTGGTGCGTCGGTCTCACGATGCAGATAGTTGTTCGACTCACACTTTCCCCCAGGATCTCAACTTGTTCTCAGCGTTGTTGATGCAAACGGGAGTGCTGGCGGAATTCCACCTAATATCTACAAGGTTATTGGTTAGTCTTTCCTCTTCTCACAGCATGTAAAATCTCAAAATCCAACGATCTACAAGAGGGCACCACCACGCAGTGTGTCACCACACCTATTAACACGCCTCCATTCACTGTTACTGCAAACGTCACGAGCGAACTTCAGACATGTCAACCTTGGGGCTTTAAAGTGAAAGGAGGGGTGCCGCCCTACGTGATAACATTTGCTCAGCCTGGCTCTCCCGTGGTGACCAATGTCAGCATGTTATTCGGAGATGATGCCTTTACTTTCATCAACCGTGCGGGCCCGAACGGACAGCTCATAGGTACGAGCTAAATTAGCTTTCGTCTCCGCCTGTCTCATTTCTAAAATACTCATAGGTGCCATCAGTGATCTGTGAGTATTAGGCTCGTAACTTGATTGTTGTCGTCCTTTTTGTGCATTCCGTCTTATTATCTTTGCTAGGACTGGACGATGGGCTACCGGGACACCAATCGTGAACACAAAGGGTATGCGCGTCGCCACCATTTATGTTCTCCAATCGCTGAAAGGTTTCTCGACGTCCTCCAGGATCCACTGATGATTCATGTGTAGGACTTGCCAGTTCTAGTGGCAAATCTTCAGATATTCCAGAGAACACTCCGAAAAAGAACCATGCGCTCGCAGTTGGACTATCTGTTACACTTCTTCTGGTCTTTCTCATGACGTTGGGCATCGGAGGATTTATCTATCTGCGTCGACGCCGGAGAGAGAAAGAGGAACTTTTTATTGCAACTATCCCCCATCAATTTATACCAGTCGAGCCACGGATACCCTCCGTTCCAGCAAGCCAGCAGGCGCCAACGTCTATGAGCGGACGCATTCCATTTGATAAAGCGTCATCTAGTAGAGGAGTGACCATACCATCTGAGATCTATCGCAATCCTCCTTCCCCCGAAGACAATACTACTATTCCTTCCAGCGGTGGAATATCCTACTATCCCAGCATCATTACTTCGTCTAATGTGACAAACGGACCAACGCCAACGGACAACCCACCCCGTTACTTAGTTTCTCCTGCACGCAAATTGCCAGGTGGATTTACAAATTTCCCGTCAACGTCCATTCGCCGCTCGGCGAAATCCCTTGAAGCTTCAACACATTCTGCTGTATCACCGGATTCCGAATATGTTCTAGAGTCCGCGATCAGTGACTCGAGTAATGTGTTGGGGAGGCAACTGTCTGCTGTATCGTCGGCGAGGACGGCTAACACAGCTCGAGGGTTCAGGCCGGAGGGCAGGGTGGAAGAAGAGGCTGAAACGATATATCAGCATCGCGATGGCGGCGTTGTTCGAGAGCTGCCGCCTCCGTACATGGATAGAGGCGATTCGGAAGAGCGGTCAAATCAATAGCCTCTGTGTGTTTTACTTTTCTTTCCTTTTTTTGTTTGATGGGTATCTTGGTGGGTCTGACTGTATGTATATCATACTAGTCAATTTGGAACTCTTGTTGTATTGTGTTCAACTATTGTTGTTTTGTACTTCTATCCATTGCTAAATAATTCATCAATTGCAGGCCGGCTTTCAATTTCGATAATCGAGAGTAAATGTCTCTAGATTCCAGCGAGAAAATTGTAGTACAGGACAAAGCACATTTGCAAATCAAAGAAACAGTCATGTTACATATTGACCGCGCAGCCTGGCGCAAAACACGAGGAAATACATGCATCGGGAAATCAGACTGGATGAATCCATCTCCAAGGCGAAGCCTTAAACCTGGAAGGCCTCGAAGGTAGGCGATTGTGACCTTTCATTCCGTCTCATGAGGAAACTTCCTCCAAGTGATCCTACTCCCTTGAGAAGCAACGCGATTCCCTCAATAATAAGGCCGCACGCATAGAGCGTAACAGCGACCAGCCCGATCGGCGCCATGATAATGTACAGACATCCCTTCCCCATGTCGCGCAGGACGCTGCGGTGCTTTTCCGGGATGTGTTCAAGGACGTTGCGGACCTTCCAGAAGCGCCGAGCGGGGGGTCCGACGGTACCCGCTTCTACGTCGTCGGGCCCGAGCTGGATTGGCCCCAAGCCTCGTGGAGGCATGCCCAGGTCGACTGGGCTGTTGTCGAGCTCGTGTTTATCGTCGATTTCATGTTGCTCGAGAAGTGGCTGTTGTTCTTCCGCAGCGCTCAGCCATAGAGCGGGCGAGGAAGCGGCTGGGGTGATTGCTGGGGGTGTTGACGCCATAACACTGCAATTATGAAGCTAATCGGTCTCCACAGGTCAATCATCCATTGATGTTTATAGGAATGAATGGACTCACGTAGCGGTGGACGAATTGAGAGCACGTTGAAAATAAAGGAGCGGGAGAGTGCATGTAGTTTCTCTTTTTCCCCTGGGTACATATGATTAAATGTCTTTTGCTGGCATCAATTATCACCAAGGCGTTCGCATCCCGTAAACGATTGCACAGTCAACTGCGCAGCAATTGTCAGTGGCGGACAACATCAGATAACGTCCACTTCGAGATTCGAGAGAGTCGGAGTGGCCTTCTTATTCTTGATAAGGGTGCGCAGCAGCTCATGAGGCATCACTGTGTATGTCATTTTGTAAGTTGCGGTGTTCTCTGCCCGTGTCGAGTTATTTGAGGTTGGATGCTCGACGAGAGCTGATGAAAAATAGTCGTGCTGCATGCTGTTGGTAGATAAACGAGTCTCTTGCCATTTTCTTGAGGACGAGTGCGATTTGCCTTGAAATGCACCCAAATATGTGACGATGAGTCCCTGATGGATACAGGCGCTTAATTGATAATTGATCTTGATCTAATCAGCGCTAAGCAATGAACCATCTCTCAGGAAACCTGAGCGGTTTGGATGTTTTAACACCGTCTATGCTTGCATCAGGTCCATAGTCGAGGTACTGATGAGGCTTGGAGGTGTGGAACTGTCGTTCCGACTGAGCACGGAATCCCCGTTCATCGACCGTCTGACTGCGCCTACGTTCATCCGCACTACGGCATCCCAATCGACTCAGCAGGAACGCTTCAATTCATTCAAGCACGCGCATCCGTCCCGACGTCTATTAATAGTGCGCGCCCAGCAGGCGCTTACCTCCGAAAAGTAATTATATTTCAAATATGACGTCCTCCTTCCCGCTTTCCTTCGTACATATTTCTTCTAGCCCATTCTCTCGTATTCCTTCCTCTCCCCAAAATTCCTCAGCATTCTATTTCTTTCTACAAAAATGACTCGAATTTTTAGTATAAAAAGCCTGTATCTACGCGGTAGATAGGCAGTGAATTGGATCCCCAGTTTATCTCACCGCTCACTTCGCTTCTTTCGTTCTCGTACCATCCTCCGGCGCACCGTAGCGCATCTCACCACGCGTGCTCACGACCCCACGCTCACGTTACGACACCCGTCGACGGACCGCTGTTAACTCTTGGACGAAGAGCTCGGAACGACGTTGACGGAGTCACGTCCCCACTCGTCCCCCCTCATCACCTCATCCGGGTCTAGCCGACTTCGGATCTCTTTAGAGGCATGAAAATGCGTACATTTACTCGAGTAAATCAGCGCTAAGGTGGCCTATATTTAGATTACACGAAAAACATGAAGGATTTACATTGGAAATAGGACGGGGGTTACAATTTACATAGTGTGGTACAAGCTAGCACAGGAACAATTTTGAATAAAGCACAGGGTAAGAAGAATCAATTTCCAAAGTGCCTAGGACCTTCTGCCTTTCTTCATTCCCTTCAAGGTGTGCTCAAGAGGCTTCTTCCCCGCCGACCCCAACCCTTTCAACATCAACGATATTCCTTCAACAACCAATCCGCCCGCATAAATGCACATTCCAGCCGCCGCCACGGGAGTGACTAAGATTATCAACAAGCCCCTTCCCATTTGCTTCGCCGGATTTACTTTCGTGCTCGAAGTCTCCGTCCCATCTAAATCCAAGATTGGCTGGGGGGCATCACGATCGCGCCTCAGCTTGTTAGGTCTGATTGTAGAAGGAGAAGGCGCAATTGGGGGCGCGGGCTGGGGCTGTTGACTGGGAAGGTTTGGTAGCTGAATCGGGGGCGACTGGTACAGAGGAGGGAGGTCCTTGGCGTCCTTCTCCGGAAGCGCAGGAGCGACTTGGGCTTGACGCATCGCAGCAGCTACTTGCGCTGATGCGGCGGCGATCTCCTCCTCCGTGGCGCCGTTCGACATGGCATGTCGGTACGCTGCAAGTTCTCTTTCCAGTTTATTGAGAGCGTCCTGCCAATTATTGCTGGAAGATGATTCGAGGTGGGATTCGTCGAGCATGATAAGTAAGAGTAGCTGATAACTAAGGAATGGGCTCAGAGATTAATGGATGATATGATGTCGGCATGAATTCTGCACTTACGGGGACGTATGCCTTGAGGTCCTTAGTTAGTAGAAAGAGTCAAGACTGCGCGCACACCCTCTTGCTTTATAGAATCGATAATCGCAGTCAGTACAACCTATTCGAGTTCGTTTATAGTTGGATGTATTCAAATACGCGCCGCAGCTTCCTGATGAAACGGTCATCAAAGCCCAATGCGAGAAATGAGATAAGTAGCACAAAAGAAGTCCTGACATGACTGACACTCGTGGTCCAGATTCAGATTTGCATTCGAGTCAATTCAATTGCTGAGGAACGTTCCAAAAATAATATCAAAGGGTTGTTTGCGATCGATTAAAGCGGGATAAGGGCTATTGGATACGGTATCGTCATTCGTATTCGTGCTGCGGCAGTGGATGATAAACGAGGGATAAAAAAAATTTGATGAGAGTGGGATTCGAACCCACGCCCCGGAGGACCAGATAACCCAGTGGGTTAGTGATGAGCACAATGTACCCTAGTCCTTAGTCTGGCGCCTTAGACCGCTCGGCCATCTCACCATGTAAATAATTAAACTTGGTTACCTACAATAGATTTATTTTAAAGTTACGTAATGCTACACCTTCCTCAATGCCCCGAGTTAGACTCGGAGAACACTCTGCCCATACGCCATCATGCATCATGATCTATGCTACTCTGTTGATATAAAAACTATACTCTCACTGAGTCTTCAGTTGGCCCAAAATACGAGGTCTTTCATGCAACCGCACCAAACAGCACTCCAAGTCAGCAAAAGATTTGGGTTTGCAAATCTCGAGATCTGAATGCAGACTCGATTCATCGTTTGAACCGATTGCTCTGTCTTACAATTTTGCTTGTCACATTAGCCAATGCAAATGAAGGGTACGTCGGGTTCATTCTGATAAGCGCAAAGGAACACTTGAATTCAGATATAAAATCTCTTTTGTCACGCTCTAGTCTGAATGAACCATAACGAAGTTGAGAGACCGGTCAATACACGGTTTCTACGATACAAATACACGATTTTGACCCGGCGAAGTAAGAAAATCAAGAGCTCAATGCCAATTTTTTGAATCTGTATGACCGTCGAAAGAAGAAGGCAGGGCAGCCTAGAAGTTAAATGCATTGCTCTTCCATCCCTCGTGCTTCACCTCGATCTCCCTCTTCCTCTCGACGCTTTTCCTAAATCCAGTAACCTGCTTTTTGCCCCCCTTCAGCATACCCTTCGCTGTGGTCTCAACTTCGCCCTTGAGCTGATGCAAACCCTCCGTGTCGACATTCATGCTCGACTTAGAACGCTTGACGCCAGGTATCTGCGTAGCGACCTCGCCGAGAGGCATGCCGAACGCTTCCTCGCCCATGCGCTCGAGCTTGTCCTTGAGCGGCTCTGAGCCAGTACCGAGAGGACCACGCTTCTCGCCTGATAGGATCTGCGGCTCAGCGCCCATGGCGAAGGCCGACTTATGCACCTCGCCGCCCTCGCCCATGTTGTCAGCGCCGACGAGGACTTTCTGCTCGACGACGAGCCCAGTGCCAGTAGCCTTCCATTCCATCTCCGTGCTTCCTGCGCGGCTCTCCCTTTCCAGCCTGCCGACCTCGCTCCAAATAGCCGCTGCGAGCGCGGCGCCGTTTCCAAGACCAGTATCCTCGAACACCTCGCGGCGCTTGCTGATATCAAACGCGACGCCATCCGCATATTCAAAGACAGCCCGAAGCTGCTCAGTCAGCGTCTTCTCCAACGCCTCGCGAAGACGAGTGACCATGATTGGGCGGAAAAGGGTGACGAACATAGAATGGTTGGAATCGCGAATCTCCAGACCGACCTCCTCAGAAATCGAAACCGTTGCGCGTTCGATGATGTGGAAGTGCTTGCGCTCTTCGCGAGAATTCGGGCCCGTCGCGACGCTGGGGATGAGTCGGACCTTGAGGTCGACATCGACACCCTTCTCGGGCAACTTCAAGCCCATGAGGCCAGTAAACTCGCTCGGACCGACCGTGGCTTGCTTGTCGAGATACCAGAACGAAACATCCTTGAGCGCGAGCTGGACTGCCTGAATGCGGATGTGGGTGAGAGCGCCAAAGGCAGTGTGCGACGGGGTGGAAGGCGACGCCGAGGTTTGGATATCAACGTCGGTAATATTGCGGATGTAGACGTGCGATGGCAGAATGTTGAACGACGAGATGTCCAAATTCTCGAGGACGAATTCAATTTCGTCGTCCTTGTATTCGGTCCTGGGAAACGCGCATAAGCGCCCATATTTTATGGAGAAAGAAACAAGCATACCTTGGAATAGGAACGTCGCGCATCTTGGACAAAATCCTCGGGATATAGACCTTGAAAAGATCCTGCCAGAACCAAGTCGCCTGCTCGATGACCGCTTGCATACCTGTCTTCGCCTCGTCGCCAGCCTCGATCAACCCCTGCTCAATATCTTCTCCGAGCTTCTGATGTGCCTCTTTGACCCTCATCAAATCTTTGTCGTTCCTCAGGCCCGCATCCACCTTAGACAACTCGTCCTTGACACTGCTGACTGCATTCTTCCACGTCTCATCCTTCTCCATCAACATCTTCCAGCGCACGCGCAAGTCCTTGCGCTGCTTCATCGCTTCCTCAGAGCGAACGTAGCCGGGCTCGGAGAGGTTCTTGCGCACTGCGCCGAAGAACGTGTCGAACCATCCACGAAGATCTTCGTCCTTCGAGATCGAATTAGCGCATGTGCGCACGCACTGGATCAGAGGGGTGAGCGAAGTTCCCGAGAGCCTCTCCAAAAGCATGTTGATGAGAGTGAGCGCCTTAGGGACGTGCTGCTCGGGTGTGGGATCGTTAACGAAGCTCGAAAGAGTGGTGTTGGGGTCCGATGCGGAATCGAGCAAGGTGTGCAGCCGCTTCTGAAGAATACCGAATATGGTATCCAGCGCTTCGCGGTACTGTGGATCTGACTGGGCCCTGTCGGTCATCTAAGATGGACGTTTAATAAGAAATCGGAGAAAGAATATCAAGTTCCAAAGATCGCGCACCTTGTATAAAGCCTCCTGAAGTCTCGAACTCGTCTTCTCCGACTTCTCCTGGACCGTCGCACTCGCACTCTGAGCTGCGCCAATCACTGTCGTACCAGCGTCCTTGACGGTGTCCATCCCATGCTGCCAGGAAACCTTCGCGTCCTGTTCCTCCTCCAAACGTTTCTTGTCACGCCCAAGCGAGTCGCGTTTCCCTTCCTTGACCTCCTCCTCAATGTGGAGCAAGCTCTCCTTCGCGGACCCGGCTTGGCCCTGAATGGCTCCAGCGGCGTCTGCCAACGAGAGACGGATGACGGAGAACAAGTCCTGGAAGAGCGAGGTACCCTCTGACGTTACGGAGGACATAAGGCTGGTGATGAGCGTGCGCAACGCCTTGCGAATGGCGGTGATTTCTTTGATAGCCTCGTTCTTCTCTTCCTCTGCTCGGTCGGTGACGGTCAAGTCGCCTTGTGTGAGATGCCAGATGGCTTCTTGCAGAATGTTATCCGCTGGAATAACAGCGATACTTAAGCAAAATAAAGACAACGGCGAACGACGGTAGCTTACCATTTTTCTGCGACCCAAGCTGCTTGTATGCGTCAAGCACCCGTCGAACGTCGTTGGCGAGCACACGACCTTGGCTACTCAGCTCGGTATTGGCGTTAGGCTCGATCTGGGTGATGCCGACTTCGTTGAGCCAGTCGATGAACGCATTCGTCTGCTGCGTGGAGGGTAATTTGCCCGCTTCGAAGGCGGCGAGTATGTCTGTTGTCCTATCCATGATGTTTGTATTGTGGTAAGGGAATTGTGGGTGGGTTTTTCTTTTGGGTTCGGACGAGACATTTTGGGGAAGGCTATATTTATACGAGCCACAGGCGCAGCGGGGTGGGGTTCAGTTGCAGTTATGACGCAATGTATGGTACGTTCATCGAGGAGCCATCCTGACGCGCGTCAATCGAACCCTTGGACCGTCATACCTGTGCATTTGCGGCGGATGAGCGAGATCTGCTTTTTCTACCTATACTTCCTTCAAGTGTGAATTCATGATGCTCGCTCTTCCTCAAAGGACTCGCCTGAATTTAGGAAATATCGGTACAATTTTTTTGTCGTCAATCGTCAATATGCCATCTGAATGTTTATTAATACCTTGTTTTTTTGTGCACCACTCTGCGATGAATCAATGACGTATTAAGATTTGCTACACATTTATTACTTTTTGCGGCCATGCTGCGATCGTGTACCAGTGAGTCGTTACGTCACTATTGAGGTAGTGGTTTTGCTATGAACCTTACAGTCAATAGCTTTCCTGATCATTTGTATCCTTCTGTTTTACAATTGGCGCAGAGACGTTTCTAGATCAGTATCCGCTCACGAAGTCCATGAGATATGGATATGTACAGCCTACATAGTACAAAACAGCGATACACAAGAAAGCAACGAAGAGACCTACGACGAAAGAAAGATATAAGTTGGTACAATGTGTGTTTCTAAGTAGTGAATAAAAGTACAACTGAAGGTTTGAAGTGTCGCTGATAGCCCAAAAAAAATTCAAACTTGTCCCCGGGTGAGGCTTTGATACCGAGGCAGACCCGACTCTTGAATGCTGACTCCGTCAACAGAGTCCTGATAGTACTGGTCGCCTTCTCCACTTGGACCCTCTTCAGCAATATTATTTCGAGGTCCCCTCGTCCCGGGAAAAGCACTCGGCGCTTTAGAGACCTCAGGAGTTATTTCCACCGCCAGGCCGGAGTTCTTTCTTATGGGCCTCGTCGGAAAATTGGTAAACCTAGTAGAGCCTAATGATGCTCTTCCCGGAGAACTTTTCATAGAGCTCTCGGGACTATCGGTAGCAGCCATGCTGGCAATCAGACCGGACGTAGAATCCAACGATCGCGGGCCCGCAGTATGCGGAACATCAGATGGGGGCGCGGGGGGCATCCTCAGCTTTGGGAGCTGCGATCGTAGGAATGTGGAGGACTCTCCTTGCGACTGCGTTGCAGGGCGCGATGATCCTGATCGCAAGCCTGATCCTGATGCGACTGGTCCCCCGGAGACTTGCTCGATTTCTTGATATGGTGGCGCCTCGATATCACCTCTGCGGAGGTTGCGTTTCTCGTCTGATCCAATCTGCCACCTGCCCGTTCCAGTCCCCATCGTTGTGGACCCAGGTATGTTTTCCGTAGAAGGGATGAATTGCGTCGGCTGTGCGGCTTTCTCATCAGTCTGCGCTTGTTGTTGTCGTTTTCTGAATCGCCAGAAAGCGGCGCCGCCCAGACCGGCCAAGACAAGTAGGACAAATATCACCACTACGGCAGTGATTGCGGAGTGCTTTCGCTTAGCTGCTGCTTCTGCTGCGTTGATTTGGGCATCTTGTTCGTTGATGAGCGTGTTGTTGCCGCTGCTACTTGCCAGACCGATGCAATCAGTATCTGTAGAACCTGGCAAATTTCAAACCCATATTAGAAACCTGTTTGCGGAAATTACATCGATTGAAAAGAGTGACTCACCTGTTGGATGAACGATTGGTGTTCCTGAAGCCCAT